AATGAATAAACCCATTAGCTGGGTTAAATCAACCCATTATGCTGGGTTAAATAAACAACCCAATTTACTGGGTAAATTTAACCCAAGATGGGTTCTGTCCTATATTTACCCAGCCCTTGGGTTAATAACAACCTAAATTGGGTTGTTTTTAACCCAGTGTTTTTTAGAGTGTACCTGCAGCTAATATTCCTTCAAATTGATGAAGATTAACAATATTTCAGGAAAAATCAAGTATTTATAGATTGTTCTCTCATTTTGATCTCCACTGTATTAATCTTCAGGTCTAATTTCAATGCACCTTTCAATCGCAGTGTGTAGTGTGAAAAACATAGAATACAAGTATGCAAGAACTGCTGGAAACTGTTTTTTTTATTGTAAACATAGATTATATCTACCAATCAGGTTTTAACTATAATTTAAAAGTTTAGAATTTGTATATCAGTGCAGATCCAGTCTGAATGGAGCCATGTTTAGCAGCAATCATTGAACAATAATTTGGTTCACTCACTGCTTCACCATCCAATCAAATAAAGTACAATACATCCAGATGAAGGAATTAGGAAGTGCAGAGTCCTTCCCAGCCTTGCTTCTGTACCATGGCTTCTTATTTCAGCAGTTGTGCATGTTATGCATGATCCTTCTGTTAAGGCAAACCCACAAACAATTATGAGTAAAATCAAACTGTAAACTCATAAGACCAGTTACTATGCATTGACCAAAATACATGCAACTTAACACAAGCTAAAACCGATGACCAAAATAGTTACAACACACCTTTGACCACCAGTTGTGTGCTGTGATCAAGTCCCAAAGCTGGGACAAAGCAGAGATACGTTCCTCCATCAGAGAGCTGGAGATCGATGAGTCTGAGAAAGACATGACCTTTCTTATGTAAAACTTCTGTTCTGTTCTTGTATGCTGGGTCTTGTTCCTTTACAGAAACTTTCCCATGGATAATATCGAATACATTCCTGGTGTCGTTGTGTCTCCAGTGGACTGTCAGCTGTTTTTCTTCAAGCACAATACTTTTTTGACTGCACTTCAAGATGACAGAGCTTCCTTCAGTGCCTTCAACTACCTGATGCAGAGAGGCTAGAAAACATGACTTTTCTTAGAATTACATAACTGTAATTATTGACTATTAACTATTACAGTGGGGTCCAAAAGTTTGAGACAGCATTGAAATTAAGATTTTTTTGTTTGTTTTCAAATATTTTAGATTATTACACTATTTCTGAATTTGTTGGTCATTTAAATCTAAGAAATTGAGAGCTGTTGATTATGTGACCCTTGGTATAGTGTCAGACAATCATTGAAGATGCTCGGTTTCATGTTTCTACTTAAATTTGAACTAAAACTGTGTTGCTGATAGTTTGCAATTAAAAAATGTAATAAAGCATAAATTACAATGTCAAAAATGGTCTCGAACCTTTGGACTGTCTTTCCTCTGTTCTTACCTGAACTTGTTAACAGTACGAACACATAAATGAAGCAGCATCTGTAAACCATAAAGACAAATTATTAAAATTAAAATAAAAACTCTTACAATCCTGTCAGCATGCAGCAAAAGTGAAGCTTACTTATTTTCAAATCCATCACGTAGTCAACTAATTTTTAAGGGAAGGTAAAGGCAGGTCAGTTTGTTGCTAAAAGCTGCTAAATGACATTGTGCCATTGCATAACCTGACGCAAAATGTGCCATTGCATAGAATAGCCTACACAATTAGGCTACTCAAATTGACTGGCCATCTAATTGTTTTCTAAGCATTTCTTAAAAAAAAAAAAAAAGATTGGACATCTCATCAAAAATATGATTTGAAATATGTTCATTTAGATGTGTAAAAGTAATATGATAAACGTTTTTGTTCATTATATGTCCCGTTCGAGTTTATTGGAGGATTTCTATTGCAAAGACACATAAATCAGTCTCATAACTTTGCTATGTTGACACGTGCACTCAATATCACAAGCCGAACAATCCTTCCAAATTTCCCGAGTAGCCTACGTTGTACACTGAATATTAATAGGTTACCGAGAAACCGTAATATATTAATCTCCACAACGTGGAGTATAATTGATAAAGTATTACCGTCGGTACATGCTGTAGTGTGTTAACGTCAGGTTCAACAGGGCGAATGGAAGCACGTGTGAATATTAAATGTCTCAAAAGTGAAAGTATCCGCCTCCTGCAGACTCTAGTACACAGACATGTACGTAGCCCTATATAAAAGCGAATAATACACGAGGCATGTCTGTGGAAGTGTATGTTTGTGCTTCTCTCAGGCTGACTCCACAAATAAAAGCGAACTTCAACTAAATAACATGCATCGTAAAACACCCAAATCAGATTTATAATTACCTCTATTTGCATTAAATAACTTTTCAGAATGGACTTCTCTGCAGTTGATTTCGGCCATCTCAATAAACAGTTAGAAATGCCCAAAAATAACATTGCATAGCCTATACTGACAGAAAAAAATTATTCAATGTCGCATGTTTTCGAAATCTCACGAGTAGGCTACATTGTAAAATACAGTAATACAAGACTGGTCTGTTAGGCCAATAGGCTATATCTAACTCTACATCGTGCAGGTTGAATTGAGAAAGTCGTCTTACCGTCGGTAAGTGTATGTCAGGGTTACTCTCCGAATAAGCCGTCAAAAACAGCGTCATATCTCAGCTTAGACAAACGGGTTATAAAAATGGAGCCTTCTCTGCAAAGTGAAAGTCTTGCATGTTTCACCGCCTCTCGTAGGAGGAGCGATAAAGTAATAGCTACCGAACTAAATTGAATCCTAACATACTATTATACTTTCTATTTGCATTAAATAACTTTGCTCTTCTCAGACAAGTTTCTGAAGTTTGAAATGCCGACGACAATGCGTTTACGTTTAAGAAGCTGATCCATTTCACACTGCATGAGAAAATTTATGTTAAGAGGTAATGTTCATTTTACTCATTATGAACTATTTTCTTACATCCGACGTTTTTAGTAATATCAGTGCATAATATGCAATGTTCAAATAATTTGAATGGACAGTTCAATTCGACTGCAGTTCAGCACATAATCTACACCAGCATGCATTTCTTAAAAAAATTGTGATCTTTTGAACATACAAAGGACCAAACACATTTTTTATTTATTTTATTTACAAATGTCTACTATACATAACATTTATAT